GCCTGAGCTATCTGATCCATACAGTGATCCTGCTCTGCAAATCTAGCCTCATGAGAAGCCAATTGCTGACTTAAATCTGTGGGGTCCATGGCCCTATCGTAATGTCACGGTAGTTTACCCCTACACGCAAGATTTAGTCCAACAATCGACAAAGCAGATACAACTTACCGGACCTTAGAATGGCCGGACTCGCCGTATAGCAAAGAATAGACAGAGTCAAGAACAAGCCAAGGTCAAGGGAACAAAGAGACTGCAAGAACAAAAACTAGCCAAGGTCTGGTACACAGTAGCCAGTAAGCCGGCAAACAAGACAAAACAGGGACAGAGAGATAAACGGAGTCAGATACAAAGCCAAGGTCAAGCATGAAAATCACAACTGAACACAACAAACACTAAAGGGAACTGAAACAGAAACCACGATAGGGCAGGGAGTTAAGGGAGAGGTAAGTATAAATACCCTAAACTTTACTTTGATTGGCCCCTGTCATATCCACGCCCCCAAAATGTGAGTATCTGGGGAATGTGGGATGACAGGGGCCAATGGGAGACCATTGCATTTTTTGGCTCCCACTGCCCCTTTAGAGACACGCGGCACGCTCTTAGAACTAGGCGGGACACGTGACCGCATCTCGCGGTCCGTGCCCGCCTTCATTCGAGAGCCGTGCGCGACGGGAAGAGAGGACCTCGGCCGGCCCCGGGTAAGGTTAGTACCGCTACACTTGGTGTGTTTTGACAGCCTGTCCTGGATTATTTGTAGCACAAATCATGCAAGCTTGGGTGTGTTTAGCTGCTACAACAGTAAATCCGGGAGCTACCTGTGACGAGACCAATCTCGCCACTGTGCATTGGAGGAGCCTGGTTGCCCGACTGCTGCCTTTAGACTATGGCCCCATGTTGAAACGCTTGATTTTCCCCTGCAAAGACACGAAAGCTGGGTCATTCGGTGCTTGCCCTGTTTGAGCGGTGATACCCCAGATAGCTATGCCATGGAGCCCATTCGTATAATGAAAGACTATGGGAAAGACTTTGGCTCCATGGCAATTGAACTGTATGTGTGTGATCTGGGCGCCATTCAGTAATAATGTGCGCTCAGATCTGAGCTATCTGGGGATATGAATGTACCTGTTTTATGCAATGGCTGCACAATTATATATTTTTATGTATTTTATTGTCTTTTGCTGCCATGTGTTCAATGGAGTTTTGCCTCTGTCCTTGGAGATAATTGGATTACTTCACAATTATCTCCAGGATAGAAGACTCTGTGGAACTGTTTTTTTTTCTATCTTTTGAACCACTGGACCAATTTGTATGATTTTGACGTATGTTTGTATTTGGAGTATGCTGATTCTGAAATGTAAGTTTTATGTGAATGTGATGCACACTTTTAAAGTTATGAATAATGTGGAAAAACTGTATTTCTCTGCATATGATAATTACATTACCCATTGTGTAAGGTAATTGTATGACAGGCAGAGGGGAGGATTTTGTGTGGGAGTGTCTGAGTGTATTGTACGTGTTTATTGGTTGTTTTCCAAAACCCTGTGGGTGGTACTAATGTGTATAAAAGAACAATAAACCCACAGCTCTGTCTGTTCACTGCTTGACCCACAACACAGAGCTTTGTCTCGTTCTTGGGGGGATTTACTGTATGCTGTTCCAGTATGACTGCTAGGAGTGTAAACCTATTTGTATGGTTTTTCCTTTTCGGCTGTTTACAGCTGTTGTGTGGTTCCGGTTCAGCTGTTTACGGCATTCATATGCTTCTCCGGTTCGGTGGATTGGTGTCTACAGTAGCTGTGCCTGTGTTGCTGGAAGGGAAGATCTACTAAATGGCGGTTTAACCCTTTTTTGCCCGGGGTGCCGTTACACTACCGAAAGGGTGTTTACTATGTGGTTCATGTGCATCTTGGATAGATGTGTAGGTCCATGGGCAATCTGGGCCATCATGGGGTAAATACAGTCTTTTACCTTTCCTCCACATTCTGTCATCATCAAGTTCTGCATCTTGTTTCCTCCAGAGGTCATGTTCTTCCTTGCTTGCCTTTGTAAGCTCAACAGTAAATTGTAGTCAACTGCGTCATCTGTAAAAACAACTTGTAGGAAGTTGTTACCTGTAGAGGGATGCACTTGAATTGCTGCTTGCTTGGCAGCTTCGTCAGCTTTGTGGTTTCCTCTTGAGATTTAATCTGTGATCTTCATGTGAGCTGCCACCTTGATAATGCCTACCTGAGTGGGTAGCAGGATAGCGTCCATTAGTGCATTCACGTCTTCAGAATTCTTGATTGGAGTTCCTGCTGAGGTGAGAAAATCACAAGCCCGCCATATAGGGCCAAAATCATGGGCTATACCGAAAACATAGCGAGAGTTTGTATAAATATTAGCAGTCTAACCAGAAACCATTTTACACGCTTCAGCGAGTGCCTTCAGCTCCGCCTCCTGTGCAGAGCAGTGAGGAGCGAGTGGTTCAGCTTTTATTACCTCATGTGCAGAGACTACAGCATATCCACTGTGGAAATTGCCCTTCTCATCAGCATATCTGGAACCATCTACAAAAAACTCAAAATCTGCATTAGATAATGAAGAATCAATTACATGCAAAAAAACTGCTGTTTCTTGTGCCATTAGTGCTGCACAGTCATGGGGTACCTGGGCGTGAGCTAACTCATCTGGTAAAAGTGAATTTACAAAAAGATCAGAAGTACAAGTACCATTTCCACTATACCCACTCCCCTCTTTTAAATCCACATTTAGTTAATTTAACAGCAGTATCATGCCATTTTTGTACGACTTCTACTAAGTCATTATCTTCTAACCAACCTCTGTAATTTGCCATAAATTCAGTCCATATATGTGGGTCTAGAGTGCCCTCTGAGGGCATGCCAGCTTTCTTAAGTAACCTCTTAACATTCTTAATTGCTCCTTGTCCTTTGTGATGCTTGACAATAGTCAAAGCCGTAAATCCCCCTTGAGAGCTTTCAGGGCTACCCATCTTAAAACCTGTAAGGGTTAATTACTTCCTTACACAAGACAAACTGTAGAAAAACAGTGTATAAGACACTTAGGACCACTGCAGTGGAATTTTCACAGTTTTGTCTCTGTTATTCTAAACACAGATCAGGAGCTCTGCCCTTGGAGGATTCTAACTCAAATTCTAAAACAAATGACAAGGCAAACAATAAAAATAACTTAAAACACAAAGATATATTCCACTATTTCAAGATTCCTTCACAAGACATAACACAACATCCACCTGAATATAACCATAATACCACAGAAAACAAGTTCTTTAGGTCAGACGTTTTTAAGTTGTTCTTTAACCAGACAGACCAGTAGGACGTGGATCTGAGAGCGAAATTGATAAAGGTAGAAAAAAAAGTTTTCCTTACCTTGCTGCAGCTGATTTCACTGTCAGAGGGATGTCCACCTGTATGCTAGTGTCCGAGTCTCTCGACCGTCAGATCCTGGGTTTCGGCACCAAATTGTTGTGGATCCAAATGTTGATGTTATATTCAGAGGAAGCACAAGTGCACTTGGAGAAGCAAGAATTAGACACCAGACACCTGTTGGTATTCAAAATAAGCCTCTGCCGTTTTATTCATCAGCTGGGTTTTTATACATTGAAAAGTAAGTGCTTACGTGCAAATACTCATAGAATAGTAATAGGAAGGGAGCACAGATAAGACATAGGGATGAGCGTCATGTACACATTACAAATAAGTTCTAAGAAAAAGAAAGAACAAAATGATTAGAGAAGAGACATCTCAGGTGCAACTAGACATATATGGTCTTAAGTGTCGTGTTAAGCATCAAGCATTTCCTGAGTCCAAGTTAGCCAATTTTAATATAGGATATCATTATATGACACCTATAAGCTTGATCCTTGGAATCAAGATAAATTCTATCACAATACAAGCCCTGACTGGAAATCCTGAGCAGTTATTCCTACTTGCCCTCACAGAAAAAAAAAGAATGCACCTAAAAAGAAGACATGAAGCGTCAGTACAGGACGTGTCCTTCTTATCCTCTCTTATTGTATGCACCTTGTGGATTCTTATTCTGAATGTTAATGCAGAGTAAAGGTTATGTACAGAGTTAGACATCACACATTATTCGCTTCAGCAACTAGTACAGGAAATGTATTTAAGCCAGTTAAACATCCTTCTTCAATTCTTCAGCATTAATGTATCCAATGGAAAATCTTACTAACTTATGCTACCCACCTGAAAGGCTGTTCTCTGCCTCTACAAAGAAGAAGTCAAATGAAAAAAAGTCAGTCTTTATTTAAAACAAGGACGTGGAGACAATGTTTTATCTCCTCTCTGAGCCTTTATCAAGTCTTACTAAAGCAATGTAAACACCCATAAAAATACCAACCCAAATAACAATTAAGAGTAAAGTGATAATAAAAGCGAAAACATGAGTGACACTGAATTGCAAAACACTCACATGTATTGTGGAAATAATCAGTGTACAAAATCATAATAGGGCATGTGACGACGGGCCAAGATGGGTGCGTGAATCCAGAGCTCCTCGTGGACACTGCTTTAACTCGCAAACAGCCATACAAGCTGTGGGCAATGGCACCATGGTTCACACAAAAAAATCCCTAGATCACCCTGGTACCCCCAGGCTGTTGAGGTCCGGATCCAAGGCCTCCATCAAGTCCTAAATCACAACCCCAAAGACCCTAGCCATGCCGCCCGTGACAGCCATGCAAAGCCCTGAACGGAGCTCCAGGGCCTCATCACCGGTGGAGTTATCCCCACCACCATCACTCTGACACCACAGAGGGGGAATTGAGGACGCTCATCCCCATGCTGCTTACTAAGTCAAACTTCACCGTGCTGGCAGACCAACTAGGCCGCATGGTAAGGGAATAAGTGGCGCTGCTGAGAGCAGACTTCACCAACCTGGATGCCCGCATAGGAGTTGTCCCCCTGCTCACGAACCTCTTCCATACGTGGGTTCTTTCCATGAACACGGAACCTTTCTGGCTCCTGATGCCGCTGCTCACCTCTCAACCCCTTCTCCTCTTACGACCCACCTGCTCCTTCCCCGGGCCATTTCTCCCCCCCCCCCCTTCCCCTCTCCAGTCCACCACGGCCGGACCCCGGAAGCTGGAACCTGGATCACAATGTCACCAATGGGGGACTCACACTATGCGCAGGAAGACCTGGTCCTCATCTCCTTCAATGTCCACGGCCTCAACATACGGGAGAAACGCACCGCCTCCTGTGGGATCTCAGAAGATTCAAGGTGGCGATAACCTTTCTTCAGGAGACACACGTCCAAGACGGCAGGGCCACCTCCTTGAAGGACTCCTGGATGTGGACACCACCACTACACAGCAGCAGGCACAACTGAATAGACACTACCAATTGATGGACTGCTGGAGGGCCCTCAACCTGACGATCCGGGACTATACCTTCTATTCCACAACTCATGACTCATATTCAAGACTGAATTACTTCCTGATGCCGCACTCCTCCCGTACCCTATTGAAGGGTTCAGACATACTCCCAATGATGTGGTCGGACCACAACCCACTCCGTCTGAGACTGCGAGCGCCATATTTAGACCACGACAATGGTCATGGAGGCTGAACGAACCCATTCTCGCAGACCAGCTCCTGGTCCCGGACATGAGACAGGCGACCAAGCACTACTTCAAGACCAATGAGTTCTGGCACGCATGCACTGAACTGCTGGGAGGCACACAAGATGGTAATCCAAGGCTACTTTATAACACAATGCTGCGTGAAAAAACTGGAGGCCATCCGTGAGATGTCTGCCATAGGCAAAGCCATCACCGAGTTGGAACGGAAGCACAAACTCGGACTGGATACATAAGTTTACAGTGACCTCCTCACGAAGAAAAGCCAAAACCAAACCATTTAGAGCACATACCATGTCCTTTATGTGATCCAAGAACACTGCAATAAATGCGGGTGCCTATTGGCAACCCTACTCAGACAAATGAGGAACCAACTATACATCCCCAGGATCAAGGATACAGCACAACGCATACACCACCTCCCAGATGAGATATCATGGGTCTTTCAGCAATATTACCAATCACTATACAACATAGCAGCGGACCAACCCAGAGACCCAACGACTAAACGAGAGGAGATCCAGAGATACCTGACCTCCACAGACATGAGACTCCTAGAGGATGGTCATCTGGATGCCTTCAAGTCACCAATCACACCGGATTAACTATTACACGCAGTCCAGATGTTGCAGATGGGTAAATTGCCGGGATGGGATGGCCTGCCTCTGCAGTACTATAAGAAGTCCCACGAAGAACTGCTACCAAAACTGCTGGTGACCTTAAACGCCATCATGGAGGAAGCCAGGCAATCCCCGCAGTTCATGGTGGCAAAGATACCACTCAATGCCAAAGCTACCGACCAATCTCGGTACTTAACACGGATCTCATACTCCTCGCTAAGATCCTGGCCAACCGACTATCTCCGCTGCTGCCGACCATCATCAATCCGGACCAAACAGGGCTCAACTCAGGCAGCGAAGTAAGGGACAACACCATCAGGGTGCTGAACCTGATAGCATTGGCTTGCCGAGGCTACACCCCAGTACTACTCCTGTCAAGAGACGCAGAAAAAGCGTTCGACAGAGTAGACTGGGAGCTCATTTTCGGCGTCCTGCACACCATAGGAATGGGGCAGAAGTTAATGTCCTGGTCGAAGCCCTGTACACCAGCCCATTGGCAAGACTGCGCTCCATTTATGCGCAGTCTTGCCAATGGGCTGTAAATGGAGTGCTGTTGGATTCGTTCCAAATCACGAATGGAAATGCCAGGGATACCCCCTATCACCGCTTCTTTTCGCTCTCACACTGGAACCATTTTAAAACCGCATTTGGAGCACATGACCATCCAAAGCATGCAGGTGGGGGAGACGCAAAACAGGGTCCTGGCCTATGCGGACGACCTGCTATTCAGAATAGAAAACCTGACCAATTTGCTCTGCCACATCATGGAGGAATTTGATGCCTACAGAGCAATTTTTGGATCAACTATAACAAATTGGAACTCCTCGACCTGGTCGCAGATCGGGAGCGACATAACACCCTAGCGGACCAATTCCCATTCAGACACTGTGAAACAAAGATGCGATACCTCGGGGTTCGGGCTGACCAAGGACCCAACAGACCTCTTTACGCACAATTTTCAACCCATACTGTGTAAAGCCACAGAGAAGATGCGTCTCCTGGGTGGGCCAAGTAAACGCAGTTAAAATGATGCTGCTGCCTCAGCTCCTATTTGTATTCCAGACGGTGCCAATTATTGTGCCACAATCATTCTTCAAGACACTCAAGTTGGAAGTCCAGAGGTTTATCTGGAAAGGATGATCGCCAAGAGTGGCACACTCCCAACTGACAGTGGCCAAATTGAGAGGAGGCCTGGCACTGCCGGACCTCGAAAAATATTACCTGTCGGCTCACTTCTCGAGGATCCTCAGCTGGACGGCCTCACGGGGCGACAAGGAGTGGGTACGCCTGGAGGCAGATGGTATTAGAGGAGACCTCAGAGCCCTTTCCGTGGATTGATAGCAAATACGGCAGAAGCGAGGCAATCCAGAACCCGTTCGTCATGGCGATGCTACGCCTCTGGCACAGACAAGGACTCAAACATTACCTGACAACAGGCACTGGCCCAATGCTCCCACACGGGGCAACCCAGACTTCCCAGCAAGCGCCCAGGGGGCACTGGGAAAGGCGATGAGAAACAAACCCTTCCCAAGGGTGAAGGATGTTCTGGGCCACAATTTAATGTTCCGCTCAGTGGCTGATTTATTCCCAGGCGTGACTCACACGCGGACGCTGTGGAGAAGAGCGAGGCACCTTCCTACATATATGGTTGACCTGCAGGTTGGTTAAACCATTCAGCCAAGTGGTGAGACGGTTAACATACCTACTACATCACATGCTGGAACCAGGACAAGGCTACAGGCTCTCAGCGATCCCGAAACTCCTGAATGCGGCAAAAGTCACCATCCTGATTTGCTGGAGACAGCCACTGATTCCTAAGATCACATGGTGGGTGGAAGAGGTGGAGGAAGCCAGACGATTTGAGGACCTGAAGGCCACCACAGTCAAGGAGAAAGAAAGATACACTTTAACATTAACATTGCTTGAAAGCAGACTCTATTAAGTAGACTCTTTCAAGTAGGAGTTAGAAAACCAGGAGTGCATTGGAGAGTGGTTTGTTTACTGTGGAGAGTGATTTGTATTTTTTTTGTTTAATCTGATTTATTTTAAAAACAAAGTAATTTTAAAAAAAATTCTGTGTTCAGTTTTTTCTCCCTCCATTGTGCTGTTGCTTGATTAATTGGGGGAGTGTTCATTAATTGCCACCTGTGTGGGATTTGTATTCCCATATTAGCACACCCCTAACTCACTGAGCTTGCTCACAGTGCTTGAAAAGCAGACTCTATTAAGTAGACTCTTTCAAGTAGGAGTTAGAAAACCAGGAGTTAAAACTAACAAAGTAATTGTTTTACTGTTCTGTATCTGGGGAAATGAGCGTAAGCAAGATTGGTGGTTTGACTCAATGCACATCTTGTTGCATGTATGCATGCCTTGATGTACCCGTCCAGGGTCCATACCTCTGTGACAGTTGTGTGCGAGTGGCTTTTCTGGTAGCTCAGATTGGAGATCTCGAGAAGCAAATTGCTCTTGAGAGGAGTCTGGAGTTTAGTGGGGACAGGTAGTGGAGAGAAAGGAGATAAGACAGATGGGGAACAGGCACGTAGCTGGGTGACAGTGGGGCGAGGAAGCGGGGGGGAGGGAAGAGGAAAGTGGAAAGTGCTAGCTAGTACTGATTTAGTGTAACCTAGCAGATTTGCCCGTTTGAGTGAAGATGTTGGGAGCATCAGCTCAGGAGTAGCTATATTAGTGGAAGCTGTTACTTCTAACAGCCGAGGGAACAGCCCCTCTAGTACGGGTGGAGATGAAAATGTAAGGCAGACTAGACAAGTTGTGGTCATCATTAGGAGAGTAGACAGGGCAATCTGCCGCTCTGATTGGCTCAACCCAGGTGCTCGGGTCCGGCATGTTGCTGACAGAGTGGATGGATTATTGGGAGGGGCTGGGGATGACCCAGCGGTCATGGTCCATGTTGGTACCTATGACAAAGTAAAAGGAAGATGGAAGGTCCTAAAGAATGATTTCAGGGAATTAGGTAGCAAACTTAAGAAAAGGACCTCCAAGGTGGTATTCTCTGAGATGTTACCTGTGCCACGCGCTACAGTGGAAGGCAGTGGTAGATTAGAGAGGTTAACGCGTGGCTGAAGTCTTGGTGCAAGAAGGAGGGTTTGGGGTTTTTAGAGGACTGGGCCAACTTTGCGCTTAGAAACAACCTTTATAGTAGTGATGGGTTGCACCTAAACTGGAGAAGGTCTGCAGTGCTGGGGGATAGGGTGGCTAGAAGGTTGGAGATTTTAAACTAGTAGTAGGGGTGAGGGTCATAGCAATCTACAAAATGGAGATAGGACAGAAAGGAGATAGGATTTAGCTTAGTATAAGGGGGTGGAGATGGGGGAGGGGCAAGCTCTGAACAGAGAAGGTATGTAATGTTGATTATTTACAAAAAGTACAAGTGACGCATAATATTAAATGTATGCTTACGAATGCAAGGAGCCTAAATAACAAAATGGTGGAACTAGAGGCAATAGCATACACTAAACAATATGACATAATAGGCATAACTGAAACATGGTGGGGTGAGACACATGACTAGGCAGTTAACTTAATTCCTTAAGTTATTAAGGAAGGATAGGAAAAACAAGAAGGGAGGCGGGGGATGTTTGTATGTCAACCATGAGTTAAAGCCAAAGCTTAAAGGACCACTATAGGCACCCAGACCACTTCAGCTTAATGAAGTGGTCTGGGTGCCAGGTCCATCTAGGATTAATCCTTTCTGCTGTAAACATAGCAGTTTCAGAGAAACTGCTATGCTTACTTTAGGGTTAATCCAGCCTCTAGTGGCTGTCTCATTGACAGCCGCTAGAGGTGCTTCCACGCTTCTCACTGTGATTTTCATGCGCATTCAGCCAATGAGGGGAAAGGAGGAGGAGAGTACCCAGTGCCGAGGGAGCCCGGCGCTGGAAAAAAGGTAAGGGATTAACGTCCTTCCTCCCCCTAGAGCCCGGCGGGAGTGGGACCCTGAGGGTGGGGGCACCCTCAGGGCACTATAGTGCCAGGAAAACGAGTATGTTTTCCTGGCACTATAGTGGTCCTTTAAGCAAGTGGAATGTGATGAGGAAAATGTGGAAGCTTTATGGGTAAATATCTGCTTGGGGCAAAAGAAGGGAAATAAACTATTGGTTGGGATATGTTATAAATCACCTAATGTTAATATTGACGAGGAACAACAGCTGTTTGAGCAAATTGAGAAAGCTGCACATCTGGGTAACACTTTAATTATTGGAGATATGAATTACTCAGACATAAACTGGGACAAAGGGACTAGTAGCTCAACAAAGGGAATTAGGTTTTTGAACTTGTTAAATTACACCTTCATGTCACAACTTGTACAAGCACCAACTAGAAAGGATGCTTGTCTGGACCTGGTTTTAACA